AAGAACCACTTGTGATTGAAGTGGTTAACCACACTGCAAGACTGAGAGTTCTCGCTGAACTGCTGGGCCTAGAAACGCTGGAGAGTCCATGGGGCTTCATGGAGGAGGTGGTCCGGTCTGGGGTTCGGCCTTGAGGTTGGCTAGGATGTCCAGAAGGGTACACTGCCTGGCTCTTCGCCCATCTTCCTGACAGTTTTGGTGGGCTCCTCCTCTTCCTGATCCTGAAATGTTGGGGCTCTGGGGGGTCTTCCCACGTTCCCATCACCACTCTGCCATGCTACCCTGGGAGAGCTCTCTTCCAGCAGGGCTGACTGCCGCAGACCTTCTAGTTCTCTGCCTTCAGCCTAGACCTCGCTCCTGAACCCCAGACAACCTATGTAGCTCTTCCTGGACACCACCACCTAAGGCCCTCCAGGCTTTGCAAACCCAATGTGAAAAGAACTACCTTCTGCCCTTCTCTGACAGTCCACATCCTGACACCCCTGCTGATACCTCAGAGGCCATCATTGACCCCCCTCACTCCTCTGTAGGACTTGTCGTTGTAACCTGCTGTCTCTGAACTCCACCCATACAGTCACCTCCACACCACGGTCGTCCTCTCCAGCTTACCCACAGCGCTGCAGCCAGAGATCCTTCCAGGATGTCACCCCGACCGTGTCCCACACACGCCCTCCCTTGCCCTCAACTCGTCATGCACGGCCCAGCTGCGAAGGTGGGCTCCCTCTCCTGCTGTCCCGTGTGAACCTGGCCCGCAGCCCTTTCGGCGTCCTCACTTCTGCCTGTAAAGCCATCCTCCTTCCCACCACCAGGCCTTTGCTGGGGCTGTTCCGTGGGACTGGAATGCTTCCCCTACTGTGGAACTTCTAGTCATCCTTCAAAGCCCAACTCCTGTCCCCCTTCTGGGAAGTTATCCCTCACACTCCCTCCCTCTGCCCCCAGGGTTCATTACTTCCTCTTGAGCCAAGTCTGATATGCTTCAACCCTGGTCTTGAGAGTGACACACGCTCAGCACAACTTTTCACATCTTCCACTTCTCCAGCATCCACCTAGACAGTGTATTTACTCTTCGGCACGGGAACCTTCAGGGTATTAAACTTCTCGAAGTCATCCACCAAGCCTGCCTTGGCCACGCAGGCCTTACAAGCCCAGTCCATAGCTGGTGGGTTCTCAGGCAGTGCAGCCACCCCAGAGGTATGGGTTTCTTTCCATGTTTTCGGGGAGTTAGCAATAGCCTTTGGTTTCAGGGCATTATTTCCCCAAAAGCTACCCAGTCAATAGTTTTTAGGCCAAATTTTTGCCCAGCCATCTTGCAATTCTTCACTGGCCCTCCCCCTCTTACCTTTTCCAAGTCATCTCCTCCTTCCGGTGTCCTTGATTCGGGCACCCTGCACTCCTACCGCAGGGCCTTTGCACAAGCAGACCCATTGCTTGGAAGATTCTTCCTCTAAGAACAAGAATGGCTCCTTCCCTTTCCTCCTACAAATCTTTGCTTGCACGTCAGCTTTTTAATCAGCTTCTCTGACTACTCTATTTAAAACTGTGAACCACCTCCACTCAGTGCCGTTCAGCCCCCACCCCCTTATCCTGCTGTAACAGTTTCTTTGCAATGTTCTCTGCATTTTCCAGCCCCTTCTCTGTGTAGTCTATTGCTTATCTGTCTTGTCTACTAGCAAATCTGCTCTGCCTAGTCTCTCCCTTCATGGCCATGTTCCGGTACCTGGCAAATACTAAGCAAATGTGAGGATCCCAAACCCCAGAATGAGTAGGGCTGTCTTGCCAAGTCTCACAAGACCACAGGTAGTGCAGTGGGCAGGACGCTCCACCCCTTGGGATTGTGGGCCCTGGGCCAGTCCTTAAGCCCTTGGAAAGATGGTTGTCCGAGACATGGTGCTGCCACGTGTCAAGGGCTCAGTGATGCTGGTGTGCAGGCACAGGCACGCGCACGTATAGACGTGGCCCCTGGCCTTCTAATGCGATTTACACCTTTCCACACAGAATTTTATTTCGCCCTTGCACTAACCCCAAACGGAGGTAGAACCAGTTTTGACAGATGAAAAAAATGAGGCCCCAGAGAGGGACACTTGAGAAGCCTGGGCCCTCCCCAGGCCACGGCACCGACATCACGGACCCTCCCCCACTCCCTGGGCTGTGCAGTAGCTGCCAGGCTCGGGAAGGTCGCGGGCGCCGGGCGCAACTAGGGGCTCGGGGCAGGGGACTACATTTCCCAGGAGCCGTTGCCCGCAGGACTGCGGCTCCCCAGGCTTTAAAGGGCCTCTCGTTAAAGGGGCGGGGGGGGGGTCCCGGCCTCAGTCTGCAGGCTGGAAGGCCGCGCTGCGCTCTGGAGGGACGCGAGAGTCCCCTGCAGGGGCAGCGCTGGCGCAGAAGCCCCCAGCCCTGCAGTATCCGCCAGGCCAGGCCCAGCGGATCTGCAGGGAGCCTGTACTCCTCTTGCCCCCTTGGCCTCCGACCCTGCATCCAACTCCAAGGGAGCCCCCTCCCTCTCCTCCTCCGCCCCCACGGGGGTGGGGGGACAGTGAAGCTCGCCTTCTGGCGGGAGCAGGGGCGTCTGCTGGCTGAAAGCCCTAGCGACCCCTTCCTTCGTTTCTGGCTTCAGCTCGGAAAGAGAACGTACAGGTCCCTGGGTGGGTGGGGATTAGGGACCGGGAGCCACAACACAACGAAGGTCTGCGGCGGGAGGGGGCGGAGCCTCACAGTGCCCCCACCCACCCATCCTCCAAGACCCCCGGCCTCCTGGGTAAAATGGGCTGACGGGGGAAGTGACCCCGGTGCCTGTCTGCCAGGTGGGAGGCGCCAAGGACCTAGAAACCATAGGGGTATTCTGCAGCTAATGCGCTGTGCAAATAAATTCGGGAACGGGACGGGGTGTCCTAGTGACCGGTCGCTGAGAGCGCCGGGGAACATGTCAGGTATGGGGGCGTCTGTTTGGGTCCCTACTTCCCTGTCCAGGTCTTAGTGGGAACACGGAGAAGTGTCTTTGTAAATAACCAAAACAAACCCACCAGGATGTTTTTTTCCAAAGCAGGTGATTGACATCATCGGAATAAAACCTTGACCTTTTAAACCGATCGGGCCCTTCGTCTCCGCTCTCCCCCGCCTGTGCCTCGGAGATAAGCTGAACGGGAGGGGTGGGGGCATCTGACATCGAGTCTTGGGCCTCTGCCTCCCCCTCCCTTTCCAATAATTTGGATTAATCCATCCCTTGGTGTTGGGGAGTAGGCCTGTTACTTTGCCGTGGCCTCAGAGACTCCCCGGTCAGTAGGAGCCCTCTTCCCCGACCCCCGCAGCCACGCCCGGTCCCCCCACCCAAACCCTCCGACCCCTCCTCTTCTCCACTCCCCGGCAGGCCACTGTCTGCACACGGAGAGGTTTTCTTCGTTCTGACCCACTGCAATGCCCACTCCTAGGGTATTGTTTAAGCAGAGAGCGAGGATGTCCGCTTAGGGAATGGAAAGCGGGTTTGTTGGGGGCGGGGGCCAGGGCCAAGTCCACGCAGGACGTGGCACGTGCGCGGCAGGTCGGCCCCAGCTCCCGCCAGGCAGAGCTTCACTGCTCCTAAGGTCTCTGGTCCTAGGGTCTCTGGGGGCCGATCTGCAGTCTCTGGGCCCCGAAAGTCCCCCAAAGCCCCAGGCCCCCTACAGACAGCGGCGGCCCTCTCCGCCTGGTGGGTACCTGCCTCTCAGCACCCGCAGAGATGTGTGCATTTTAACAAAGACTGCATCCTCCAGCAAAATGGCGCTGGTCCCGGTCAGGCTCCCCAAACAAATGCACATTTTCAGAGGACTTGTCATGACCCAAGGGACGCACCCCCTCCTAGACATCTCCCCCAGTGCCCCGTTTTCCCAATGCCCCAAGCAACTCAGGGCTTCTCATCCCAGGGGCCCCAGGACCGGCTCTGGTTAGTCTTTGGGCAGCTCCTCAACGGTGAACCCCTAACCAGCACGACATACACACACATCTTCCAAAGCCTTGGGAGGGGACTGGGCCCCCAGGCTGGGCCTCTGAAATGAGGGGCAGCGAGCTCTGCCTCCCACGCCCCAAAACTCCTAAGCAGAAGGCATATAAATGAATTCCCGGCTGGGATATATGGGAGATGCGGGGGTCTTTGAGGAGAGAGAATCAACCCCGAAGGCCCCTCCTCATCTCTTGGGGGGGCCCAGGGGGTATTGGGGGTCCTGTCTCAGGAAGGAACTCCAACGCACAGATCAGGGGGCGCGCTGGGGAGAAGACCAGAGAAGAGGGGGAAGGGACAAAGTTAGAAAGTGGCCTTCCAACTCTTCCAAGGAAAGTTTCCTTGGGGGGCCCATGGACAGAAAGGGAGTAGGGGTGCGGGGGGGAGAGTGGCGGGATGGCCCCCGAGAGGTGACCGGACCCTGGGGGAGCGACCCCTCCCCCCTGTCCCGGCTCGGCA